CTGGAAGTCCAAGCCCCTCGCCCACAAAACCTCCTTTACCCCCCTCTTTCCAACCCTTTCAAGGACGACCCCTACCCCTCCTTCCTTCCCCTATAGATTTTTATGCTTTCCATGTAATTCTACTTTGATCCATTCTCTCTAAATGACCAAACCACCTCAACAACCCCTCTTCTGCCCTCTGACTAATGCTTTTATTAACTCCACACCTCCTAATTTTCACACTCCGAATTTTCTGCATAATATTTACACCACACATTGCCCTTAGACAGGACATCTCCACTGCCTCCAACCATCTCCTCGCTGCTGCATTTACCACCCAAGCTTCACACCCATATAAGAGTGTTGGTACTACTATACTTTCATACATTCCCTTCTTTGCCTCCATAGATAACGTTTTTTGACTCCACATATACCTCAACGCACCACTCACCTTTTTTCGCTCATCAATTCTATGATTAACCTCATCCTTCATAAATCCATCCGCCGACACGTCAACTCCCAAGTATCTGAAAACATTCACTTCTTCCATACTCCTCCCCAATTTGATATCCAATTTTTCTTTATCTAAATCATTTGATACCCTCATCACCTTACTCTTTTCTATGTTCACTTTCAACTTTCTACCTTTACACACATTCCCAAACTCATCCACTAACCTTTGCAATTTTTCTTTAGAATCTCCATAAGCACAGTATCATCAGCAAAAAGTAACTGTGTCAATTCCCATTTTGAATTTGATTCCCCAAAATTTAATCCCACCCTCTCCCGAACACCCTAGCATTTACTTCCTTTACAACCCCATCTTTAAATATATTAAACAACCATGGTGACATTACACATCCCTGTCTAAGACCTACTTTTACCGGGAAGTAGTCTCCCTCTCTTCTACACACCCTAACCTGAGCCTCACTGTCCTCATAAAAACTCTTTACAGCATTTAATAACTTACCACCTATTCCATATACTTGCAACATCTGCCACATTGCTCCTCTATCCACTCTATCATATGCCTTTTCTAAATCCATAAATGCAATAAAAACTTCCCTACCTTTATCTAAATACTGTTCACATATATGCTTCAATGTAAACACTTGATCTACACATCCCCTACCCACTCTGAAACCTCCTTGCTCATCCGCAATCCTACATTCTGTCTTACCTCTAATTCTTTCAATTATAACCCTACCGTACACTTTTCCTGGTATACTCAGTAAACTTATTCCTCTATAATTTTTAGTCTCTTTTGTCCCCTTTCCCTTTATATAAAGGGACTATACATGCTCTCCACCAATCCCAAGGTACCTTCCCCTCTTTCATACATTTATTAAACAGAAGTACCAACCACTCCAACACTATATCCCCCCTGCTTTTAACATTTCTGTCATGATCTCATCAGTTACAGCTGCTTTACCCCCTTTCATTCTACGTAACGCCTCACATACCTCCCCCACACTTACATTCTGCTCTTCTTCACTCCTAAAAGATGGTATACCTCCCTGACCAGTGCATGAAATTACTGCCTCTCTTTCTTCCTTAACATTTAAAAGTTCCTCAAAATATTCTCGCCATCTACGTAATACCTCCATCTCCCCATCTACTAACTCCCCTACTCTGTTTTTAACTGCCAAATCCATACTTTCCCTAGGCTTTCTTAACTTGTTTAACTCACTCCAAATTTTTTTTTCTTATTTTCATTAAAATTTCTTGACAGTGCCTCTCCCACTCTATCATCTGCTCTCCTTTTGCACTCTCTCACCACTCTCTTTACCTTTCTTTTACTCTCCATATACTCTGCTCTTCTTATAACATTTCTGCTTTGTAAAAACCTCTCATAAGCTACCTTTTTCTCTTTTATCACACCCTTTACTTCATCATTCCACCACTCACTCCTCTTTCCACCTGCCCCCACCCTCCTATAACCACAAACTTCTGCCCCACATTCTAATACTGCATTTTTAAAACTATTCCAACCCTCTTCAACCCCCCCACTACTCATCTTTGCACTAGCCCACCTTTCTGCCAATAGTTGCTTATTTCTCACCCGAACTTCCTCCTCCCTTAGTTTATACACTTTCACCTCCCTCTTACTTGTTGCCACCTTCCTCTTTTCCCATCTACCTCTTACTCTAACTGTAGCTACAACTAAATAATGATCCGATATATCAGTTGCCCCTATATAAACATGTACATCCTGGAGCCTACCCATCAACCTTTTATCCACCAATACATAATCTAACAAACTACTTTCATTATGTGCCACATCATACGTTGTATATTTATTTATCCTCTGTTTCATAAAATATGTATTACTTATTACCAAATTTCTTTCTACACATAGCTCAATTAAAGGCTCCCCATTTACATTTACCTCAAATTTACCTACTACTCCCTCCATAACATTTTTACCCACTTTAGCATTGAAATCCCCAACCACCATTACTCTCACACTTGATTCAAAACTCCTTTTATTTCCATGGGGAAGTAGAAAAGAATTCTTACAAGCTATGCATGTTGTAAGAGGTGACTAAAATACCAGGAGCAAGGGGCTAGTAACCCCTTCTTCTGTATAAATTACAGTGGTACCTCGAGTTTCGAACTGCTCCCAACTCGAATAATTATGTAAGTGTATTTTTGGGGGTCTCCTCTGTGTGTGGGTTGTTTGTGTAATGATTTGTTAAGGCACCTACAATATTACCTCTGTACAGTTATCTCCTAAATTACAGCTACAAATATATTCCCAGAAGTTTTTTAATATTGACTGGTAAGTGTGAATATCAGTGACCAAATTTAACAGTATTCTGTAACTACGATAGACAATTTTTTGCAAAAAAAAAAAAAAAAAAAAAAAAAAAAAAAAAAAAAAAAAAAAAAAAAGTAATCAGGTATTGATAAGTGATGCCTGCTAATGAATTACTGAAATAATAAATGTAAAACTGCAGAAAGAATAATGAAATTAATTACATTTCTCTTTTTAAATAGAAGCACAGCTTTATTTACACAAGGGTTTAACTATAATATAAGTGAACACTTGACTATTCTTTACATCGAGAAAAAATGTGAAATCATTGAAGGGTGTAAGGAAATATGCAATTAGGAGAGCACAAGGAAGGAAATAAGAAAAATTGTAAAAGTGGAGAGTTGCTAAAGTGGTGCTCCCCTCAAGGAAGGTTCCTTGATGTTGGTGAGGGGCTCTTGATTTAGGGAATTGGATCTGTGCTCCAGTTCCCCGAATTAAGCCTGAATGCCTTCCACATCCCCCCCCCCCCCAGGCGCTGTATGATCCTCCGGGTTTAGCGCTTCCCCTTTGATTATAATAATAATAATAAAGTGGTGCTGCTGAAAATACTGAGTAAATAAAATTTTTTTATCCAATTCTTTTACCTTTCTGGCATTTTCTGCTTTCTTTCTAAATTCCCCACTTGCATATAATTGAGAGGCAACCATTTAACCTTCTTTCACATTTTTGTTTCTCATTTCAAGTAGTAATTGCCTAATCTGTATGTTAATAAAATAAAATATGCTGTTTATTGTATTTTTATTGGGATGTTTTGTTGGCCAGAGATGGGTAGAAAAAGAGCGTATATATAGGAGACACGTGAGCTGATGTAGTGGGCAAGTGACATCACATTCAGCAAAGTGGAGACTTTGAAGTTAAAAATTAGGCAAGACAGTAGGCTAACCTTAGTACTTCTCTATATAGTTTATGTAATTTTAGTGTCATATCCAGTGAGAATAAGGTTGGCCAATGCTTCTGAAATTAATGATTTGTGTGTGGTGTTAATGGTGGCAATCAGAGAATTTAATAGATGAAGTCTATTCTCCTAGGTAGTAGGTTGGTAGACAGCACCACCCAGGGAGGTACTGCTGTCCTGCCAAGCGAGTGTAAAACGAAAGCCTGTAATTGTTTTACATGATGGTAGGATTGCTGGTGTCCATTTTTTGTCTCATAAACATGCAAGGTTTTAGGTACGTCTTGCTACTTCTACTTACACTTAGGTCACACTACACATACATGTACAATCATATATATATACACACACCCCTCTGGGTTTTCTTCTATTTTCCTACTAGTTCTTGTTTATTTCCTCTTATCTCCATGGGGAAGTGGAACAGAATTCTTCTTCCGTAAGCTGTGTGTGTTGTAAGAGGCGACTAAAATGCCAGGAGCAAGGGGCTAGTAACCCCTTCTCCTGTATAAATTACTAAATTTAAAGAGAAACTTTTGTTTTTCTTTTTGGGCCACCCTGCCTTGGTGGGATACGGCCGGTTTGTTGGAGAAAAAAAAAAATCTATTCTGACTGCTTCCCTGATAATTAGTTTGATACTGGGCAAGTTCATCAATGCAACAGGCAGACAGAACCAGGTTTGGAATCTGCTCAGACTGCACCACTAACACACAAATCAGGTTCATCCTTAATTTCTGAAGCACTGGCCAGATTTATTCTTACCTGCTATTCCATTAACTATATGGAAAAGTGCTGAAGTTGGCCTACTGTCCCTCCCCCCTCCATTGCCTAATTTTAAACTTTCAAGTTTCCCTTTGCTGAGGAACATTACTGCAGCTGACATCACTTGTGCATCTGAGTTTAGTCTCTGTTTGATGAAAAGTAAAAAAAAACTGCATATTGTCTTATTAACATACTTGTCAGTATCCCATTGACATACATACCTTGTGATAACAAAATTAAGAAAATTTTCAACATACTGACTTTAAAAAATAAGTTGAAATGGGTATTTCCCTTCAAAAAGGGATGTACCCATTGGGAACTTTGCATCATAAATATATAAATGTATATGAAAAATAACTAGAAAAAAAGCTGTAATGTTATATCCCATTGGTAAAAAGCTCTGGTGTCATCCCAAGAAATACCTGGGTGGTCATGTTTTCACAAAAATGGGAAAAGGGGGGGAGGGGAGGCAGGGCAGGAGGGGGTGGAAGAGCTTTTGCTTTGGCACAAAGAGTTGATCAATACTGTACACCTGAGATTAAAAATGAGCCAAGCACAACAGCCTTTATTATATATGACAATAATGTATTTTTAAATATTTTGTAGCCATCAAGTGAATAAGGACAAATTTTTGCAATTAGCTAGCATTAAAATGAAGTTTCAAAAAGTACTTCTCTAGCATTCTTTGTACTATCTGAGAGTTCCTTCTCTCGTTGTGGTACTGGAGTACCATGTTTTGTCTTGAGCAGAGATTGACGCCGGCTGTCAGGTGAGCAGGAATGGAGTTCTAGCTCATGTTTATGCTTGGGTATATGCTGTTCTTGCCAGAATGAACTTTGAGACTGTACTACCGCATCTTGTGTATGTATCCTGGTTTGACAATTTTCACATTCTCTCCCTTCTCCAGACCTAGAAGCACACAGAGGATTTTTTCCATCTAGACAGTATAACAAAGATTCAGAAAGATTTGTACTAGAGTAAAGGTCAACAGCAGAGTCAAAAGATCCCAAAGAAGTTTTTGAACACTGCCGTGAGGTACATTTACTTGGAGGCTGCGAGCTGTAGTATGCAGAATCACCAAAATTCTGATCAATTTTGTCTTTTTTGCCAGCCATTTTACCTGATGGAGAGGTACTCTTTTTCTCTCCAGCTTCAATATCTTCATTGTCTAAACAGTCAGATGATAAATCAACTGGATTTTCTGTAAGTATGCTACGACTTAAAAGGTAATCCTTAAATACGCTTGATAAAGATTCATTCATATCATCATCATCATCCTCCTCCTCCTCTGCCACAAATTCATTCTCAATGTTGGTATTTTCATCTTCTAATTCAGAATTTTGAAGTGATGATGATGATGTCAGTCTAGTGGCTAACTGAGCCAGAGAAGAGGTACTCAAGTGACGAAAGAAGCTACCAAAGAGTGAGCCAGTTGAACTAGCTGAGCTTAATGTCCGACGGAGGGATGACGAACCCCAACGGCTGAGTTTACTTTCCATCTTCTTACAATTGTATGAAGTTCTTGGGTTTTTTTCCTTACTATTTTCACTTTCTACATCATCATCACTGTCATTTTTCCTCTGATCAGACAAAATAGTACTAATGTTTGTAGAATCAGCAAGTGGTTGGACAGGCCTTGGTGGGGAAGCAAGCTGAGCTGCTGGGTTAGCAATAACAGGGGATGTGTGCATGCTCACAATACTTGCATTACTCTCATTTCTTTCTGCATTATGAAAAACATGAGAGTGGGAGTTCTCCTCAGGAATGGCAACATTTGATAAACTTGTAGCAGAGTTGATGATGATTGGGCAACGGCTGCGTGGAGTCATTATCACCTTCTGAAAAAAATGGATAACACCAATGACTGATAAACTTATCATTTTATACATTTGTCAGCTTACATGCACAATGTACTGAAAAGCTAGCAAACACTATTTTATGAAATGAATAATTAACTTGAATACTGATCTGTATAAGGTACCTAGGGACTGGCAGTATGTGCAGTTCCTTTGTATAAAGGAAAGGGGGACAAAAGAGTAAAAATTATAAGGAAATAAGCCAACTGAGTATACCAGGTAGTGTATGGTAGCTATTACTGAAAAAAAAATAAAGGGTAAGATGGAGAGCAGGATTACAGATGAACCAGGCTTTAGAAAGGGTAGGGGATGTGTAGACCAAATATTTACAATGAAGCATATAAGTGAACAATATTTAGATAAAGACAGATAAGTTTTCATGGATTTAGAAATGGCAAATGATAGGGTGGATATGATAGTGGCAGATGTGACAAGTGTATGGAATAGGGGGTAGGTTACTAAATGCTGTTAAGAGATTTTATGAGGATAGTGTAGCTCAGGTATGTAGAAGAGAGGACAATTACTCTCCAGTAAAAGTAGGCCTTAGACATGGATGTGATGTCACCATGGTTAACATTTAGAGTTGGGGTTGTAACAGAAGTCAATGCTAGGGTGTTGGGGACAGGTGTGGGATTAAAACATGCACATTCTAATACAAAATGGGAGTTGTTACTGTTGCTTTTTGATGACAATGCTTTTCGGGAGATTCTGGAGAGAAGTTGCAAAGGTTGGTGGACAAAATTGAAAGGGGTATGTAAAAGAAGGAAATTTAAAGCAAACATAAGAAAGATCAAACAATTCTGCTCTCTTTCTCACCCTTAATTCTTTCAATAATAACTATCCATACACCTTACCTGCTATACTCAACTGGCTTATCCCCCTATAATGTTTACACCCTCTTATCTTTCCCCCTTTCCTTTATACAAAGGATTTATGCCTGCTCTCTGCCAGTTGCTCTCTTTCATACATTTATTAAACAAAAGTACCAACTATTTCAAAACTATATCCCACCTGCTTTTAACATTTCTGTTATAATCCCCATCAATCTCAGCTGCTTTACCCAATTTCATTTTACTCACTGCCTCATGCACTTCCACCATGCCAACTCATTAAAACACACATATACGGCAGGAGACAGTCGTCGAGTTGAAAAAATGTGCGTCAACATTCCAATTATCCACCTTCTTGGTGTCTCATGTCTCCTCAGTGAACATGTAGTATTATTCCCTCCTTATATCCATTGAATTTCTTAACTATTTCCTAGCCAATTCAATGAATGAATCAACTAATGGCAAGCTCACTTATTTATATTTTGTTATGTAGTACAAGGAAACATCCATGTAAGCAAGAGATAGATTAGTTGAATTGTATATTTTGATCTTTGGCTGTTTGAAATGTTCTTTCAATGCACCGGCCATATCCCACCGAGGTGGGGTGGCCCAAAAGGAAAAAAAGAGTTTCTCCTCTTACATTTAGTAATATATACAGGAGAAAGGGTTACTAGCCCCTTGCTCCTGACATTTTAGTCGCCACTTACGACACGCATGGCTTAAGGAGGAAGAATTCTGCTCCACTTTCCCATGGAGAATGTTTGAAATATACATTTCAAATAGTCTCCTAGTTTTGTGTACATGTGGATTTCCTTCTGCCATTGACAAGTGTTCAAGACACTTTGATGCTCCAACAAACTGCTTTTTTTCTACACATAAATTATTTTCTAAACATATATTTGAAGATTGTACAATACATTTGAATAAAAAATAATAATTAAAATTTGGTAAGAAAAACAACTGTTAGTAAGCAAGGAAAAAAATTAACAATACAAGACATGCAGAGCCATCTTGAACGTTTTTTCATGCTGTGAAAAAAAGCGATGCAATAGTCAGTACCTGAGGTATGCTGGCTCTTATCATAGCCTGGGAAATGGGGGAGTGCACCTTCAGCTGTGGGCCAGCAGGGGTAAAGGCCAGCATGCTGTCCCAGGGAAGAGTATTTTCTGTAACATCCTCCAATGTAGTAGGGGCAAAGTTGAAAGCAGACTGGGAAAATCCTTCAACTTTGTTGCTGAACACAGAGTGACTGCAAATGCTCTCTCTGACAGCTTCCCTAGTATTGCAACTTGTATCCGGGGAAAATGACAGGAGAGGCAGAGGGGACATAGGGTCAATACAGGAACTTTGATCTGAAGAGGATGAACCGAGATATTCTCTGGTAGTCAGTGACAGTGTAGAGAAGGGAAGGGGTTGCTTTGCCCTTTGAGAGAAATGGGATTTTGCATGAAGTGCCGTTTGGACAAAGGAGGATAACATGGAGTTGGTGGAACAAGACGAGTCAGTGGGAGGGTGACTTCTGTGGGACGATAAATCATCAAGAGATTTGGCTTTTAAACGACTCGGAGTGCCAAATTCGTGATTTCGACGGAACATACGCAGCTCGGGGGATCTGGTGGAAGGACTCTGCAATGCACATGCAGTAAATTAACAATAAAAAATCAGAGTACTAAGGTGGTGATACATGCAACGTATCTGCAAAATCAGATACATGTATATGAAAAAACTGAAAGCTTAAGCTTAATATGAAAAAACTGAAAGCTTAAGCTTATGTAACAATACATTATAAACTGTTTATTCACAATAATTTAATACATACTATAAAAATTTCCTTAATCAAATGTATCATAATTAGCAATAATTTCTAAAGCGGACTCTAAAAACAACTTTCATGTTCAATACGAGCCCATCACATGAAGCATCAACTCACACTAAGTACATCTTCACTGTTGGTTCGTTTAACTTTGGTGCAGCCAGTAGAAGTAAAAGGCTGGGATTTACTCTTTGAAGATTTCACATTCTTGTGGAATAGGTGCTTCTGAAACAGGTTATGAAGATAAACCTATTTAGTCTTAAAAATATCTTCGTGAGAATCACCATTTATGAATTTAATTCAACTCCCACGAAGAAAACCGAGTAAGGCAACCATTTCTACTTGCATACTTTAACAGTGCAAGTAAGAAATCCAAATTAGCACAGAATTTTTTTTTTTTAATTTGCAGATGAACACATGCAAAAAAAAGGTGTTAAATAACCATACTTTAACAGTGCAAGTAAACAATGTTGTCAATTAAGCAAGAGAACAAAAGGTTAGGTTATTTGAACTGGAGTGCATGAAGATAATTTAGAATATAGCTGATGAGGGACATAATACAAAGCTTTGAATATGATCATTAGCCAATTGGCCTCCAGTCTCAAACTTACCCCTTGTTTTGTCAAATGCTCCTTCCTCAGCTTTTTTCTCTAAAACTTTCAAGTCATGTACATAATGCCCTTTCATATATGACCTAATAATACTTATATTTCTTGAAGCTATGATTCTGCAATTAATCTTAGGCAGCATACTTCTCACTCTCATAACAGGCATGATTCAACTCATGGCCAGTCCTAAACATTAGGTCAGTGCTCTAACCACTAACAGTATGGAAAAGTGGTTTAAAACACTGACCTACTGTTTTAGGATTAACTTGCCATGGATTAAAATCCTTCCCATTCCATGAGTTGTTTACAGTCACATTATTAAAACTTTGGTGATGAGCATACTTTTTCTTTTTTCCATATTGCAGGTATTACATGAAGCAAACTATAGAGCCTTGTGTCTTTCTTGACGTTTATTCTTCATTCCTTCAAGAAGCATCTGTGGAGATACCTTTTTTAAAATTAGTTGACATTTTTATTCCAGCTTTGTTTCTAAGTAGGTAATTTTGTCTTTCCTGTGACTGATTTTGAGGTTTTTTTTACCCTACCAACCCAGCCTTGAAAAGCCAGGGTGCCTGCTTAACAAGACTGTTGCTGTTAGTGGCCCACATAGCCATCATAACTTGGTTGATTGGTACTTGGCAGAGGTGTGATCCAGTTTCTTCTGGAAGGCTTCTACATTTGTTCAGGCAATATTTTTAATATCCAATGGTAGCAGGCATCCTTGCTTTTCACATGATTTATTTTACACTTCCTCCATCTCTCAGTCCCATAAGCTGTCACAATAGTGTGTATATTTGGGACCTAACCTTCCATCATCCAGATATTTATTATCAGGCTCCTAGTAGTTTAAATGCTTTACAAACTATGCAGTCAGTAAATGGTCTATATTTTCAAATCCTGATCTCTCTCCCATCTTGAACAGAGCTGTGAGCACAAAGTAATATTCTGCATATGAAAGAACAAATTCTCCATGGGGAAGTGGAACAGAATTCTTCCTCCATAAGCCATGCGTGTCTTAAAAGGCAACTAATATGCCAGGAGGAAGGGGCTAGTAACCCCTTCTCCTGTATGATTTACTAAATTTAAAGAGAGCTTTCGTTTTTTTTTTTTTAGGTCACCCTGCCTCAGTGGGATATGGCAGGTTTGTTGAAAGACGAAAGCTCAAATAATTTGAATAGTACCATCACTCACATTATTTCAGTTTTAAAGTTTTCATGGTTCACCTGTCATTTTTCAGGCCTTTGCTGCATTTGATTGTGTTCTCTAAATGACATTCTTCAACATTATTATTCCTAAGTTTTTATTTTACCCATTTCTTATGTTCTATGAGATGGTATGCCTGCATTTTGTGCTCATTTTGAACTCTTCATTCTATTTGTAACTAAGCAACCAAAATTTTTTACTACTGAACATGATATTTTCATATGCACACTGGAAGACTTTGTTGATAATTGTAAATTTTCTGTAACTGCTTCTGAGGTGACTTTCATTCTTATTATGGTATTGCCTGCAAAAGATGATACAAACTTTTCAGTCTTAGGAGTTCTTTGTAATGTAGTCGCTGTGCTAGAGTACTTCCTGTTACTACAGTATTTTTAATGTTGTACAATGCCATCATCTTCCAATTGACATTTGGAAGGTTAAATCCCCAAAAGAAAACTAATATTTGGTGTAGGATTCTTCAGAATCTCAGAGCAACTTTTTTTTTTTTTTAAACTCAACAGCTGTCTCCAACCAAGGCAGGGTGACTCAAAGAAAATACATTCACTCAATCAGTCTTTCTAGAAGTGTGCTGACAACATAATTAGAATACTCCTCCAAATGCAACATTACCATCCCTTCTTGAATGCAGGCACTATCCTTCCCACCTCCAGGGGTCAAGTCCAGCTAACCAGTTTCCCTGAATCTCTTCATTAAAGTTACCCTGCTTACTCCAACAGTACATCCATTAAAAGCCACTTAGTCTTCACTGACATTCATAGTGTTGCTGGATGCTCAAGTCCCTAAGTTAATTCTAAGTCTCTTCTACAACCTCCCTCCAGCTATTCCTGGAATGGCCCCTTCCCCTTCAACCTTCCATCCCAGATTTGTATAACCTCTTCATCACCTTGACATCCCCTCCTCAGCTTTCTGAAATATATCTGTGGTCACCCTGCCTTTTAATTTCTAGATATAAACACCACACAGTTCTCAAACATGACATCTCTGCTGCCTCTAATGTTGGTACTGCTATACTCTGGTACATTCCCTTTTTTGCCTCTGCAGATAAACCTCTTCCTTTCCAGGTATTTCAACACACTACCCAACTTTTCTCCCCTCATCTATTCTATGGTTCATCTCATCTTTCACAGACCCTTCTACCGACATGTCCACTCCCAAATATTTAAATACATCCATTTCCATATTCCCTTCTTCCAATTTATTTTCCCTATTTGTTCAGTAAATTCCACTGATGTTGCTAATGGTGGTTTGTATACAATTACAATTAGATTTTTGGTCTCTACTTTTATTCCAAGCACTGCTAACATTTTTAATAATTTCAACATTTCTGTGCAACTGTTTCTTGCATGCATATCTACTCCTTGCAACTTGTTTAGCTTATAACTTCTGTACAATTTATACATTGGTATACAGATTTTACTGTCCAAGAAATTTCCAATACAGGTTTCTATATGCTCCAAGCATTGCATTTCTGAAACCACTTATGAAAGGAACTTCATTGTCATCACAGTTTTTAGACTTTAAATCGTGAAGAAAAAAAAAAAATTAGTGATTGTGTTAGCTGATTTAGTTCATGCCTCCTTGCCAATTAAACACTCCCAAATATAGATTAGGATGAAAAGCTTAAAACATTACCAAGAATGTTGCTGCTGACTTACCTTGATGGAATCTCCTAACCTTTTGCCTCGAGCCTCTTGCTTCTTGATAAAACTCTGGTTAAGTTGAGGGGTTCCTGAACCACTAGCATGGTTAAATTGTTTAATAAGTCTACGTTTTTTAGCAGAATCTGGAAGTGACTGAACATAGGCATAAAGTTCAGCAAGAGCTATCTCAGTAACATCTTTGTCATTGGCTTGTGCTGTAAGCTCTCGGTCAATGAAGGTAAAAATTGTTTTAGCTGGAGCTTCCATCATCGATCGCTGCAATAAAAAAAAAGTATCTATGGCAGTTAAGGAACAAAATGCTATACATAAAAATGCTAATATTTTAAGTACAACATTTTAAAATTTTGTTGATAGAGTGAACAAAGAGTACTACAGTGTATTCTAATATACTATCTTCATCTACATATACTGAGAATATACTATAACATTCTTCAGCAAATCAAGCTAGACAAGTTAATATCAAGATGAACAAAAAAGTCCCTTCCAAATCAGGCATAATGACTGACAGAATGACTGATTACTACACACCTTACTCATTACCATCACTATAGTGCAATATCTGAGGCTTGTTACACAATAAATGCAGTCACAGCTAAAAATTAAAATTGAAATGTTACATACAAAATATCAACACAGGAGTAAATAACTTCCTTACTCAAACCCAAAAACAAATTACTCTTTTTTAACTACACAAATTAAAACTAGAACACCAGAATCCACAGCTTCCAAGTCTTACTGGCCAAAAAAAAAAAAAAAAAAAAAAAGGTGGTATAAAATCCTAAAGAATGCAAGAAAAGTTTAGAGGAAAAATTTGACTGCTGAAAGCTAAACTAAAACTAAAAACACTAATACCAAAAGTCCTGCCATGAGGCACAAGTATGATTTAGTAAGACCTTCAAAAAGCAGAGATTGCAGCATAGCACTAACAATTTTTTTTTTTTTTCAACAAGTCGGCCGTTTCCCACCGAGGCAGGGTGACCCAAAAAAAAAAGAAAGAAAATCCCCAAAAAGAAAATACTTTCATCATCATTCAACACTTTCACCACACTCGCACATTATCACTGTTTTTGCAGAGGTGCTCAGAATACAACAGTCCAGAAGCATACACATATAAAGACACACAACATATCCCTCCAAACTGCCAATATCCCAAACCCCTCCTTTAAAGTGCAGGCATTGTACTTCCCATTTCCAGGACTCAAGTCCGACTATATGAAAATAACCGGTTTCCCTGAATCCCTTCACTAAATATAATATAATATAATATAATATAAATATAACTAACAATATAATTTCAATATTCCTACAAAGATGTACAACAAAAAATTGTAGATTGGCAAGGTAAATCAAGTTTAACATTTTATGAACAGTACAACATTCTGACATACAACAGATGAGACATTACAAACCTATCCACTATATGACACCTTGACTAAAATATGTAGTGCAACAGCTGTCAAAGTAGTTAACTCCCAGTATCAAAATGAGTACCTGAAATAAGGAAAATTAGCTATGAAGGCAGTTTGCAAAAGCTAAACCTTATACCAGTGGTTAAAAAATACTGGAGATTGTCGTAGTTTCATATTTGTTTCATGATTAAATGCTCCTGAATTATGAAGAACCAGAATTTTTTTAAAAGGAAAAAAGAAGAAAAAATGTTCCATTCCAAGATTATTATTCAGACCAGTGCTTTAATTCCTTTTTATTGAAGCAAGTTTAGTAGACTTTTATAAAGTAGGGTTAGCAAAGTTGGTCAGTAATTTTATTAAATTAACTCTCAGAATGCAGCCTAAGGGATACTGTATCTTCTATTTTCCAAAAATTTATGCAGATATTTAATTTTGTGAAAGGGATTCAGAGAAACCAGTTAGTCAGACTTGAGTCCTGGAGGAGGAAGTACAGTGCCTGCACTCTAATGGAGGGTTTGGGATATTTGCTGTTTGGAGGGACATCAAAACTGTCTTATCTGCACACTTCTGGCAAGACAGTGATAGGGTGAATGATGGTTAGAGTTTCTTTTTTGGGTCACTCTGCCTTGGTGGGAGACAGCCAGCATGTTAAAAAAGAAAAAATCAATAGCACTGAATTTTACATTGGCTGACAATCCCTCCATGATGCTGTGAATACTAATGTTGTATAGCATTTACCTTTGATAGTTGATGTCGCATATTTTTTTTATTGCTCCAGTACTGTCGAACATCATATTCCAACTCAAGTGGAATCTGGAAAATAAATGCATATAGTAAGTCAAGCAGGGAAAAATTAATGAAGTACAATGTAGCATTTATTCATTGGTTCAAATACTTACAAAAGCCAAGGCACATTATTTTCTCCATACTGATAATTTAATTTATGAATTTACAAAAAATAAATGCTCTTTTTTTCATTTCCAAAAGGATGATTGTTGCTAAAACCAAACTAGATGATAAGGCAAACAAACGGGGCTGATTTATGACATAGTAGTTTCCAAAAATTTTTTTTTTATTTGGTTGTTTGGAACTTGGGACCTATTTTCTCCAGACACCCAAGTTATAATCCAAGAGGGGATTCTCAGCCATAATATTCCATATTTAATTTAATCTACATTTTTAATAATGAATTAAAAAACCAGCTACAACACTCATCCGGGTCCCTCTCTCCTACCTTCCCTCCCTCTCTTGAACACACTTCCACTCTCCCATCATGTCTACCACATGACACAGGAAGCAACCACAGTACTGCCTCCCTCTCTTCCAATATCTCCTATTTCTTCCTTCTCATCATATCAGAAATGGCATTCTCTGCATATGTTTTCCACTTTCTCACTTTAATGTTGAGAGTATTAGGTGCCTGGGAATGCTGGTATGTGAGAAAATAACAATGCAGTTTACTGCAGGCCAGACTGCAGTGTATGGGGGAGGGGTGTGGTGTTGGTGAACTAAGCCGCATCACTTCACTCACTGACATGCAGTTGATGACGTGACAATTTCTGCCTAATGGACTACTGTAAATATTAATTCTAGCTTTTGACCAATCTCTACCAAACATGAGCCTTCCACACATACATACAGTAAAATAATACAAAATTTTAATGCATTTTTTCTAGAAAAGGAACCGAGGAAAAATTCTACATTAAATTCAGCTATTGGCAAAATTGTATTTAATTTTAAATTCTTGACCATTTTCTATGACAGGCATGAACCCACCACACATAATGAAAATAATGTGTGAATATTAATAATTATTATATCTGCAGATCAGCATTAATAAGAAATTAATTTGTTAAAGTGTCTAAGTAGGAACCCAACTGTATATATTCTAATAAAAGTTGCATAAGGAGTATAGACATCAAGCATTTATTAATTTTGTAGAGAATGCAATACCTGGAAAAAACATACAAATACTGGGCAGCAGTGCAGGTTGATTCTGAGCACTGCTGTTTCCCTCTTGTCTTCAGCGAAATAACTACACCTACCATCCGACTTACAACCTGCTCGACATACATCCACTCGACTTACGACCGTGCATCTGGCAGATGGGCTGGGCCGACTGATGCGCACTGCTGTACAATATTTGACAATACTCGTGGCGGCAATGCATCATGCAGGCAGCATCAGTTTGAGTAACCCTGCCCTATCAGCAGCAACATACTGTATTAACTGTACTAACTGGACAGTAAATTTCACCATGGCCCCTAAGATGAAGTCTGAATCTTGCACTGGAGATTGTGGCAAGAAAGGCTCTTACTCTCGAACTCTCTATTTGTTTTCACTGTTGCACATAAACCTGTCTGTATCTGTCTGCCTGTATATCTGTGTCTGTCTGTATCTGTGTGTGTGTGTATGTCTACCTGTGTGTCTGTCTTTCTGTCTACCTGTGTGTCTGTCTTTCTGTCTACCTGTGTGTCTGTCTTTCTGTCTACCTGTGTGTCTGTCTTTCTGTCTACCTGTGTGTCTGTCTTTCTGTCTACCTGTGTGTCTTTCTGTCTGCTTCTGTCTCAGAGCCACTCATTAAGAGTGTAAGTGGTCTTGAAGATGCCATATTAATAATGATAATAACACAATAATAATCACCGAGGCGCATTGAACGTGTATAAAACGTTAATATAGACATTTTGCTTAATCCATCTATGATTTTTCTTTCAAAATTATGTAATAAACATGCTACATAACATATAAATATAAATTAACAAATATGAGATGTTCTTCTGAAAGTGAACAAAAACCATTCGTGTCCGGGCTGGTAACAACAACAACATTTGTTTACATAACTCGTGAACCTTCTACACTCTCATTCTCTCTCTCTCATTTATTCATTTAATCTTGTTTACTCGCCTCTCACTCTACATTAAGACTACAGATATTTTAAGGTAAGTAATGAGTGGACACGATTATTATATTATAGTTTAATAATAATAATATTATTAATATCAGTACGTATGTATTATTGTAATAATAATAATTATTAATATTACTATTAATTTAGGGCACTGGAGCACAGATCCACTATATAGCACTTCGTCTGGATTTTTTGGGTTATCCTAGGTAATTTATACTATGTATGATAACTTCACGTACGTGTGCCTGTGAGAGAGAGAAAGAGAGAGACAGAGACAGCCACATTCAGTCAGCCAACCAACCACCCACCCGGCCAGCCAGCCAGCCAGATACATATTACACATGTTCCAGAGTGGTTTCTCCTTACTTAGGATATAGGTTATACAGAATGACACTACCAGTGGTATTCTCCCATTCCACTGTGTCGACAATACATAAAGATAACAGTAACATATGATACTGTATGCGATGTAAAATTTGCAATACAGTTCACTACCATGTATACATTATATACAGTATAAAAATAGAAGTAAATTATGGTAAAAAGAAAAAATAATGATTGTACATTACATTACTATGTAGGTAGTTTATACAGGAAAGGTTTGACAGTATGCCCAACCCAGTATGTCGGCAATTTTCAAAGGTTTGACTTACGTCCATTTTGACTTACGACAGGTTGGTGGGAACCAAGCTTGGTCGTAAGTCGGATGGTACCTGTATTTAGTTGGGCCTCGGCTTCTTTCATGAGGTGAAGCTGAAGCCAACCTCATTATTTCAGAAGACAGACAAATGGTGATGCTTTGTATGAGCCTGGGCTAACACTACAAATACCATCAAGACAGAACTTGCAAAGCTTTAAGCCTTCAAACATCTCAGAACTTCTGTTCAGCTAACCGTGTGCAATGATATAAAGTGGTCATCTCGCCCTTTCTGTTTACCTGCATTGCTACCTACATATTTTGTTTTGCAAGAAGGGTCTACAGGATTCAATAAAGCTTTGTGCTTGTCAGTATGGTACACCACCTGTACCCAAATACAATCTTCATGAGCTTACTTGAAACAGCTGTGAAGCCTGCTCGATCATGAAGGCTACAGCAGTACTAAGTGTACCTGATAAATACTGCAAATCATTGGGAGCCATCTGAAAAGTTGAAAAAAGTACTTTTAATATAATGAATTTAACTTTGTGAACACCATGGTATTCACAGATCCCCAAAACTCTTGAAATTCAACAGTTGCTAACTTATTTCAGATTAAATTATTTTTCCAAAATTGTTCTGGTGGAATGAGATAACAGACTGTGAGTACATAATGAGTACATTGTTAAACATTTAATAAAATATATGAATCTGCAAAACTATTGCATAGACTAAAATAAATTTTATATGCACTTCAAAAAAAAATTCTATAAATACAAAAATGCTAGTCTTCCCCAGTTCCCAGCTTTTCCTCCAATGCTCTATTAAAGTGACATTTTGGTAACCTTCTGAAGATCCATTACATCCATTCTATTCTTTTCTGGCACATTAATTTCTGCACATCACTTCATCCACTCCAGCTGCTTTACCATATTTTAACTTTTGCACTGATGCTCTTACCTCTTCAAAGTGCATATATCAACTGGTCTTCCATCTTGTTTCCTCTCCATTTCTTTGCACTTTTTTAACCAGTTGCTTCCCAGTCAGGTTTTCAAAACGCCATTCCTGGTTAATTCTTTTTACCCTTACAGATACCTTGATACTGGTGAAGACCTCTTGATCCAAAAAATTGGAGCTATTCTCTTCCTTTCATCAAACCCCATTAACTCACATCTCCCAAATACTGTATGACCCATTTCTAGTGCTCCCCATGAATATAACAATAATTATACAATTCTTTTAATCTATTAATATTCTCATCTATCTTTACTATTCTCATTTTCTTTATAATTTTCCCAACAGCCAAATTTTAACTGTTACCTGAGCATAATAAAATATAAATATTTGATTGAAAGCATACTGTACCTTTCTTGGACACAAAATATGTGGAGCAAACATTGTTCCCAGATTAATAGCTGACATCAGGTTTTCCTTCTGGTGGGCTGCCACGCGATGTAGTAACATGAGTAAGTCATGGAGCAACTGGTAATTTTCTGGAGGCAGTAAAAGAAACAAAAGACGAAGTGCCTTGATTTGACGAGAATGAGCAAGGTCCTTCTGGTCAGTGCTCATGTGTGACTGCAGCATTTCTGTGAAGTAATGTTACCCTTTACATGGATTAACAGCTGAAAATTTTTGAAGTATATTAAACACTAGTCTGTATGTGAATAAACCAATAAGCAAAACACACAATGTGAGGGGCTACATATTTTGACCTGCTATTGTGATCTTTATCAGACACTGAAGGTGAAATGTCACCTGAAATAGCTCTGCATGTTGCATTTCTGCTACATCTTCATTGAGTTTATTAAATAAAAGAACATTACCATGATCCATGTGACAATTGCATTATTTGCCTACTGAAGTATGATGCTTCCTAAAATTACAGTATGCAAATCCTTCAGAAATCTCATAATCATGAAAAAATTCCTTACCAGCCACTTTGCAATGGATGGAATAATGACCCTCTGTAAGGAGAGGTTCTGGCAGATCAGCCAAGAAGCTCTTGAGAACTGAGGCACAGTCATGGGCTGAGTATACACCATAGTCCAAGTTGAGGTCACCACCTGAGTTGAGGAGAGCTTTTAGCTCTTGCTGCCGACTTAGACTTCCACTCTTTCGGAACAAACCTTCCTGAGAGATATCTGAAAATATTAATGTCTAGTCTGTAACAATATACTTTTCATTCAGCGCTCTCTGCACATGAGACCACAGTCAACAGTGACCCAAATACTATGAAAATCCAACAATAATATTGCTGTGGTTGCCACCATGACACATCATGAGGACTTCTACACCGTACACAGAACCTAAGGACATGGAACTTACAGCCTTCCCATTACTGGATATGATCAAGCCTGCACTGGAGAAACTGCTAGGAGTTTTCCTATATGCCTAAGAGAATACAAGTATGCCTGTAGAATGAACACCATTAATGTATGTGTACAACACTGCTACACCCACCCCCACATGCCATGGGACAGAGTCAGTCTACTATTTCAAGAAAATGACAAAATTACAACGAATGCATCTGAAAGTCATTCACAATCAAACTATTATCAAATAAGTAAAATTATGGGATGTTTACATTGGCAACCCCAACAGCACACATACAGGAATAGAAGTGAGTAGAATAACCAAAAAACAAATATGCAAGGGTGATGAGAAAGGCTGAGCGACAATTTAAAAATGACATGGCAGCAAAGGCAAAGTCTGAACCAAAGCTACTTCATAGCCACATCAGAAAAAAGACAACAGCCAAAAATCCAGGTAATACAAATGAATGGAGGCAGGGGAGCTTACAAAAAATGATAAGGAATTTTAGTGAAGTGTTGATCAAAAGATTTGAAGAAGTCTTCTCGGTGGAAATGGGCAACACCAAGAAGCCTAGGGAAGAGGTTGCTCCAATAGGTACCAGATGCTATACATGCAACAGGAGGAGAGGTAAAGAAACTTTGGATGAACCTGGGTGCATCAAAGGCAATGAGACCTGACACGGTGTCACCATGGATTCCGAGGGAGCAGAAGCACTGTCTGACCTAGTAGCTAAGATGTACAGGTCAATGGACAAGGGAAAGTTGCAAGAGATCTGGAAGACAGTCCACACTGTCATTGTGGGCCCTTTATGTAGAGTATGTCAGGCCCATCTCGGAGTATGGAACCCACATCTATAAAAGAATATTAAGATACTGAAGAAAGCAGACATATGTAATGAGGTTTGTTCCAGAGCAAAGCAGTATGAACTACAAGGAGAAGCTAACAGTTTAATCTATTGACATTGGAGGACGAGCCAGGGGAGACATAACATAACATATAAATACTCAAGAGGAACTGATAAGAGTAGATGGTGATGGGTTTTAAAGGTTACACAAGAGGCATGAAACAGGTACACAAGGACATAGCTGGAAATTAAAGACATATACTATAAGGCACAAGCATGTCAGGAATGCACTTCTTCAGTCTCAAGAGTTGTTGGGAAGTAGAATAATCTTGATGAAGCAGAGGACATGGGCTCCATACATAGTTATAAGAGCAGGTATAATAGGGCTCCACGAGGCTAGGAGAGTGACCTTGACAAGTGGCAAGTTTAGGGGGTAATTGTCTAAGAGTCATGACTCCATCTGCAGTCACAAATAGGCAAGTACATACAGGTGATTACTCTGTGAAACTGCTATTTCTACACCCACAGTAATTATTATAACTAAAATTGTCAATGAAGTTTTATACAACTATCTCACATTAACACTGCTGTTTTAATAAACAAAGCTTGATTGCTTACAATTATCATCTGCAGACAACTTAATTAACATCAGACTTTGCATTCATATAATTTAACTTCAACTATACAATGTCAAGTAGTTTTAAGTTCTAGTTTTAGTCTGCCCAAGATGCTCTGCATAACCAGGGGTTTCATAAAATGTATGAAATGTCACCTGATTTTGTAATGATTAAGTACATTTTGAAAAAATTATTTTTACCAAAAATATGTCATGAAACAATAAAAGGAAACTGCAACTTTCACCCAGTATGTGAAACTTCCTGGCAATTCTTAAGATTATAGAATAAACATAAATTAGAGGAACACAGAATATAGAAAAAACACATTCAAGGTACTAATTATTAGAGCAAAGATAATGAGTATAGTGTATCCAGTAGCAGACTATCCCAAAACATTGTGAATAAACAGTTTTGTTTACCTCAACTGCTGTCTCCTGCTGAGGCAGAGTGACACAAAGAAAACACATTCACCATTATAATTGTTATATTCACAATAGTGTTAAACCCATATGGGTCATACAGTGCCAGTGATATAAATATACTGCATTTTGAAAAAAAAAAAAAATAACTTTTATTACTCAGCCCAACAATGCTGCAGTCAAAGTCTTATTCCAGTGAGCCAGTGACCCAGGATGTGCACTCCAGTCTACTGCAATTTTGATCATTTGGTGATCAGAGTGCATGTTCCTTGTGCTTACCTGAAAGGCGATTGGGTCAAGGAGGCCACGGGAAGTAATGTCGAACTTGTTGCAAGGTGCTAATAGCATTTCATCTGACTGACACTTGCATTTTACTTCAAGGGTTGTTCATCCTACACTGTCTCCCTAAGAAAGCGTGTTTAAATGCCAGTGTAGTGGGCTAAGTCCATCCTACTGTGCTGTTACTGTAGTAAAGTTAGGTGCGAGATTAGTAATCTGTAGTTATTGTGCGTGATGTTCCATTTCCAGCAGTGCAATACAGTTTTAAGATCAAAAGCTTAAGTTTATATAAAGTACATACTCCTCATGGACCATAATATAGTATTCCAAGACAGAAAGAAAAAAAATTCAGAAGAATGCAAAACATTTAACAGACACCTGTTTCACTCAAATGAAAGGATGCAGTACCCCTCTAGATGGTTGTTGCCTATCAACCTACTACCCATAAGGATAAATAGGATATAGGGACAGCTGTAACAACTGACCTTTTGAGCTCAGAATCTATAAGCTTTGTTAAGCAATAACTTATCACTTGATATCACTTGGTCAGATTTAGTGATGGCTGAATTCTGTTTATGAGAAATCATGGACCTGACAAACATACCAATTAATGTGACAGGTATTACATTCTAAAATATTCCATCTGAAAGCACAACACTAAGATTCCAAGGACAAGCTTATCAAATGTGAAGAAATTAGGTTAGAGTTGTCAGGATACTCAAATAAAACAACTGCCCATAAGAAAGATTGTCCGAAGTAGTATTAAAACATGCATCTAGGAAGCAATAAAGTCTTCTGTAAATATGCATTGCATATTCGCAAAGCAAAGGTTTACTATAAAGCAATTTGGTTCAGGCAATTAATATATTAAGCAGGGATGAGATGATACCAAAAGTTTTGCCGATACAGATATTGATAATCAATTTTAGGCCAATGCCACTCCCATAAAAAATAGCCAGTACCCATTACTATCAAAATTAACTGATGCTCCCAATACCCAATTTTAGTCACTACTGATACTCTGGCACATCCCTAATTTTTTTTTTTAACAAGTCGGCCGTCTCCCACCGAGGAAGGGTGACCCAAAAAGAAAATATTTTCATCATCATTCAACACTTTCACTTCACTCACACAATCACTGTTTTTGCAGAGGTGCTCAGAATACAACAGTTTAGAAGTTATTTTTTTTTTTATTATCACACTGGCCGATTCCCACCAAGGCAGGGTGGCCCGAAAAAGAAAAACTTTCACCATCATTCACTCCATCACTGTCTTGCCAGAAGGGTGCTTTACACTACAGTTTTTAAACTGCAACATTAACACCCCTCCTTCAGAGTGCAGGCACTGTACTTCCCATCTCCAGGACTCAAGTCCGGCCTGCCGGTTTCCCTGAATCCCTTCATAAATGTTACTTTGCTCACACTCCAACAGCACGTCAAGTATTAAAAACCATTTGTCTCCATTCACTCCTATCAAACACGCTCACGCATGCCTGCTGGAAGTCCAAGCCCCTCGCACACAAAACCTCCTTTACCCCCTCCCTCCAACCCTTCCTAGGCCGACCCCTACCCCGCCTTCCTTCCACTACAGACTGATACACTCTTGAAGTCATTCTGTTTCGCTCCATTCTCTCTACATGTCCGAACCACCTCAACAACCCTTCCTCAGCCCTCTGGACAACAGTTTTGGTAATCCCGCACCTCCTCCTAACTTCCAAACTACGAATTCTCTGCATTATATTCACACCACACATTGCCCTCAGACATGACATCTCCACTGCCTCCAGCCTTCTCCTCGCTGCAACATTCATCACCCATGCTTCACACCCATATAAGAGTGTTGGTAAAACTATACTCTCATACATTCCCCTCTTTGCCTCCAAGGACAAAGTTCTCTGTCTCCACAGACTCCTAAGTGCACCACTCACTCTTTTTCCCTCATCAATTCTATGATTCACCTCATCTTTCATAGACCCATCCGCTGACACGTCCACTCCCAAATATCTGAATACGTTCACCTCCTCCATACTCTCTCCCTCCAATCTGATATTCAATCTTTCATCACCTAATCTTTTTGTTATCCTCATAACCTTACTCTTTCCTGTATTCACCTTTAATTTTCTTCTTTTTGCACACCCTACCAAATTCATCCACCAATCTCTGCAGCTTCTCTTCAGAATCTCCCAAGAGCACAGTGTCATCAGCAAAGAGCAGCTGTGACAACTCCCACCCTGTGTGTGATTCTTTATCTTTTAACTCCACGCCTCTTGCCAAGACCCTCGCATTTACTTCTCTTACAACCCCATCTATAAATATATTAAACAACCACGGTGACATCACACATCCTTGTCTAAGGCCTACTTTTACTGGGAAAAAATTTCCCTCTTTTCTACATACTCTAACTTGAGCCTCACTATCCTCGTAAAAACTCTTCACTGCTTTCAGTAAACCTACCTCCTACACCATACACTTGCAACATCTGCCACATTGCCCCCCTATCCACCCTGTCATACGCCTTTTCCAAATCCATAAATGCCACAAAGACCTCTTTAGCCTTATCTAATACTGTTCACTTATATGTTTCACTGTAAACACCTGGTCCACACACCCCCTACCTTTCCTAAAGCCTCCTTGTTCATCTGCTATCCTATTCTCCGTCTTACTCTTAAT